ATACTTATAAAAAAGGCAGGAGGGCAAGCCTTAACTCTTTGGGTTCACAGCATTCCTTAGTGTCTGTAAGGAGTAGTGAAATCCAGGATTTCAAGTGTACAGTTTCTACAAAGGTAAATGAAATAATTATTAATCTGAAGTGAGCCCTACTAGGCTTTGGGATGAGCCTTTGGAGTGATTGTGGTATGTATTTCCAAAAAAACCACATTATAATAGTTCTTACTGTGATTACATCTATATCTTGCTCTGCATGTGCCTTTGGGGTTTGCAAGTAAGGTTGGCTGTGGAATAGTTCTAACAAATCTGCATAGAGTGATTTATTAAAGTGTAGTGTAATTTTATTTGGGACGGGGGTGGGGTGGGGTCATACTAATTCATTTACTGCTTTAGGGATCATAATACCACAGATGTTAGGAATTCCAGTTTAGGGATTGAGGATTAAACTGAGAAGAGAATCTTGACGTAAAGCTCAAATTTTGCAGAGTTTCTTTGGGAGCATCAATATAGTAACACTAATTGGGATGCTCATTTATTTGGGTGGCACAATCTACCATAAACACAAATATTACCTTGAAAATATAATTATGGGAAAAGCAAGCATGTATCTGTTTAATGCATGGAAAAAGCCCATCAGACATCTCCATGTGTGCAGCCTTCAGTTTCATGAAGGTTTAAATAATGTTATCAAGCAAACAGTCTTCCTCTCTGTGTATACATGCATAAATTGGCTTTAAAATGAAAAACCTTGAAATGAAATATCTGTACTAAAATACTATTAAGCCTGTCCTTGATGTATTTGGTAACACAACTAGGCTTTCATCATAGGCTACAGAGAGTCACAGAATGATTATCTGCATCCTTTAAACTAGAGGGGATAAATACCCCTTTTGTGGTAAAGAGATCGAGAAATCGAATGACAGCAAATAGAGTTCAAGGAGATGACACAGTATTCTTCCTTAAGAAGCATACAGGCCAGATGGAAAACACAGCAGATGGGATAAGACTCATTTATATTTATATAGACATGGAAATAAACAACAGGAACATCAGACATAATGGGATTTGTCTGTCTTTTAATTCATCTTTTTCTACACGAATACTTAATAAAGACTTTGTCACATGATGGGAATAGTTTAGAGCACAGCTTGCTAAATTTCCAAATCTCTGCCTTAAGCAGGATTTCAGATAAGAGCAAAGACATTTGCTTGGAAAATTGGTACATATCTGACGTAGGATTCAGCTTGGGGCTGGACAGATCAATTGGTTGATTTAATATAAAACACTCCCTTATATAACCTAGAGCTCTTTGGTAGATAATGCATGATGATTGTCACAAGGGCACTCAGAGGAAATTCTTGATTTTTTTTTATACCATTTAAAATACATAAAATATATGGATAGGTACTGTATACTATTTCAGCAAGTTCTCTGCAGAGGTTCTCCTTTAATAATTTTAAATTCTTGCTAAGATCAATATTTGATCACCACACATTTAAAATTGTATGTGTTTTTAATATATTCATTTGATTTGAGCTGCAGATTATTGCAAGTTGCTGAATCATTCCCTGAAGTAACATAGATGGGATTTTTGCTCTGACAGACAGCTATGTCTCAGTTTGATAGTTAGTCATTATTTCCAGTCTGGTTACATGTCAATAAAATACTGAGTTTTTATTTCGTGCAGATGATGTGTCCTTAAAATAAGTTGTGGTAGAAAACATCTTCCTTTATAATTAAAAAGCAAACATACTGGCATCTGGCAATAAGGCAACATAGATAGTCCCAACTTAAAACATTTTGTTTAATGACCAAAGTTTTAGCAGCAGCACTGAAAAAAAAAAGGAACTAATGATCATTTTTCATACTAATGGCTGCTGTAACATCCCCATGGTCACATGATCAAAATTTGGACACTTGGCACCTTGTATGTATTTATCATGGTTACAGATGATCAGCTTTTGTGAACTTCTAAGAAGCAAAGTCAGTGGGGAAATCAGATTCACTTAACAACCATGTTGCTAAGTTAACCATTGCAGTGATTTACTTAATAACTGTAGCAAGAAAGATTGTCTTGCTTAGCAATGGAAATTTTGGGCTCAGTTGTGGTCATAAGTTGAACACTATAACATTAGGCTCAATTATGGGCATTTACTATCCCACTGGGTTCGCCTTTTCCTTTGAACACATAACTCCCATATCATATTGCAAAATATTTATTGAGGTAAACTCGTGTCGCATTTAAAATCATTTCCATTAACCTAAGAGGAAAGATAGAGGGGAAGCACTTACAAAACAAATGTAATGGTTCTTTTAGACATGTCATACTTTAATATAATTTTAACGCTAGCCTTTGACAGAAAAAGGATATGCATTAGAATCAAATGATTTGCATCCAAATGCAAAGGTAACTTTTTCAGGTGTAAAATTTCCCTGAAAGAAAATTCCTCACCAATGAGTGGTTGTACAATTGCTACATATCTTTACTTGAAATGTTTATGTCCTAACTAATTAAGGCTATGATCTAATACAGTTTATATTGTGCAAAAGAAAATCCCCTGCAAGAAATGAGGCCATTCTTCTGATTTTTTTCTTTTTTGAATTAAGTCTATAAATTAATTGGTTTTAAATTTGAAAAGCAGCCCAATAGTTAGTTGAAATGCTGTAAAAAACAAAACAAAAACAGAAGCAAACTGTTTACAGGTAATTTTCCTGTATTCATATAGCTGAGTTTCAACCCATCAAGTAATGATTTTATGGATGACTGGCATGTTGACATACAGTTATTCTGCACATGGATAACCCAAATGTCAGCATGGAAATTCTATGAAGATTACTATTAGTCAAACTGTAGGGCTAGATCAGCACTTACGGCAGGGACAGCACCCATTATGCAAAACAATTTATTTTATCTTTACATTCTTATAGCTACTTTTCTTCTAACTATATTTGTTTAAACCTCTCATAATCCTTAGATAACATGGTAGCACAAGTTGGAGATAGCATCTAAAAAAGACCAGTCTGGAAAAGATATCTGTAAATCTATATAATTTCTACAATCTCCCTGTTTTGCTTCTGGCTTTGGTGCTATTTTTGTGGAGATGACATTTGATAGTTTTCTAGAACTTACATTCAGCTAAATTGTTTATACCAGTGTTTCTCAACCTTGACAATTTTAAGGCATGTGGACTTCAACTCCCAGAATTCCACAGCCAGCAATGCTGGCTGTGGAATTCTGGGAGTTGAAGTCCACATGCCTTAAAATTGTCAAGGTTGAGAAACACAGGTTTATACAATCGTAAAATCATTGTATATGAACCATGCCTCCATGCAAATTAAGAATAATGTTTTAATAACCTTGAACAGATTTATTCAGCAGTAAGCCACAAAGAGCTGAGTGGACTTATTCTTAAGTGTGTTCAAGGTTCTTCACTGATTCTGTGTATCTTACATTTCAATGTTGTGGTACCATTTTGGATTCAGTGGTGTTTGGAGCATCCTTTGTTAAGGTAAAGAGTACTCTGCTTGCTTTTCAAAGCCTTTAATCATCCTTATTCTTATCAGAGCACCATTGTAATAGTTTTAGACACAAACGACCCCTCCAGAATTCCACCCTGGAGATGGCAGAGATACTTTCAATCTTTTCAAGTATATTTCCCATGTGCTATAGCCTCAAAATATCTTACACGTGTTCCAGAATTTGTGAGGTTTATCACAGCAGTTAATAACTATCTATCTCAGGGTTGTTTGCTAGCACCAATTTCTCACTGCTGTTAGAAGCTAGTTCTAAAAAGATTTAAAGGTTTCCCCCCTCCAAGGGTTTGGTGCTGATCTCTGATTCTCAGCCCAGGGATCCTGTGTTGTCTGAAAGATGCTTCTGTCATCATGTGGCCAGCATGAAAATATGGAACACAGTAATGCAGGATTATAGAGGCTAGTTCTATAATCCTGAAATAAAAGAGTTTTCTTTTACAGTGATAGTATGAATGATTTTAAGGATACTGTTCCTAAGAACATTTTTTCAATATAATTGTTCTATCACATAATTAAAGATAGCAGAATATCACTGTATAAGGTACAATCTTTTATTTTTTTTCAGAAATAAGTATTTTGGATTGTGCAAGATTGCATCTTTAGTAATTTAAACATAACTTTTCTACTGTGTTCTGATTATTTTCTTTACAGCTCATTATAATCCTTCCTAGTTGTAAAGTGATAACGTTGACAATTATGAGTAAGAAGTAACAGCTAGCTTTAAGATCAGATTAAGTTATAGAGGTTAAAGTTATAGTGATTCACAATATATTTAATCTTTGTGCTGAAGCCATAAACATAATTAAAATACAGGATAAAAAATGCAACTTAAAATATAAAATTAATACTAAGTTGTAGAGTTGCACAAAGTATTTTAAATTAACAACTGAATACTTGATATAATAGATGTAGCCTAGGTCTTCTCTAAGGGCAGAGTGAATGGGGTTTAAATTCAGTTCATGAGAGAATACATTCCACAGTTTGGAAGTAATAAATTTATGTTCCTCTGCTGGATGCCATTTAAATGAATCTTCTTCAAAAAGGCCTCTCCTGCAGCTCTTATGCTTCGGTCATGGTGAATTATTTACAGTGCCAATTAGATGAAGGAATCTAGTCTTCTGATTTCTCTTTTAGCATTTTTCAGTTTGGAGAACCATGATAAATCTTCTGTACTGTCTGGGAGGTTTGGGCATTGGGACCAAGATTCAGCAGTGATTTTGGTCGAATTCTTGCATTCTGTTTAAAAGATTCACTTGGGTTTTGAATGAATTACCTCAGTCTTTTCTTATTTATAGGAGAAAAAATTGAGGACGAGACTTACAGGAACACATAATAATAATGTTGCTAATATTTCAATGCAGATTGAATTCTGCAGATAGAACTACTAGATGTATTTGATAGAATATGCATGTTGCACAGAATACAAGAATCAGTAGACCTAATACAATTTAATGATAATCTTTTAACAGGGCTTTAGAGCAAGTCCACGCCATGTTAGAAGGCGTGTAGTCCCTCGATTTGAAGAAATACAGCCCCTAGTAGAAGCACGTCAAGTGAGTGAGCAAGAAACATCAGTTAAGAAAAGAAAAATCAAGAAGACTAGCAGGATCCAGCCGGAATTCTACCACTCGGTTCAAGTCACACCTACTCGAAAGCCAGTAAGTAATTTTTTCCCCTCTCCGTTCAATGAATTATGGCAGCCTTTTCCCAACGGTGTTTTTCCTGATGTATTAATCTTCAGTTTGTAGAGTTCCCAGCCACCATGGGCTTTGGTAGATGCAGTCCCCATTGTTGTGCACCAGATTGGAAAACATTGATTTATAACAGTGTTTCTCAACCTTGACAATTTTAAGGCATGTGGACTTCAACTCCCAGAATTCCACAGCCAGCAATGCTGGGAGGTGAAGTCCACATGCCTTAAAATTGTCAAGGTTGAGAAACACTGATTTATAAAATCAAACATATTATAAAGGACATCTACTCTGAATTGGATGACAAGTTTCAAGCAATGCAAGATAAGTTAAGAGTCAGTAGTTTGCTTTGTAACTTCTAAATGGAACCTATAAATTCTCTACTTCAATACTTCGAAACGCACACTGCATTGACCTTCATATGCCAATCCTGGATCTTCTTCTAGCCATAGTACTGTCCTCCTTATTTATCAAGGCCTCTGCCTCAGACAAACTGCCTTTTATGGCTTGTTTCCTCAGCAGCAAGCTGTTGATCTCTGTTAAGGAATGTGGCAGATACCAAAACAACTACAGAAAGATTGTGATACAGAACTAGCATTTAGCAACTAGGCTTCCTATAGAAGGCTGTACTGCTCCCAGAAGACGGTCCCAGGGTTTCCTACTAGGAGGTACCTTTTAATGTTGAAGCCATATTATATGCTGCCACCGTGAGCTTGGTCAGTCACAAAATATCAGCTTACTAGGAAGCAAACTGGTGGGGTGCTTCTCCAATGTCCCACTAGAGACTATCTGAAATACAGATAGTCCTTGATTTATGATCACAACTGAGCCCAAAATTTTCGTTGCTAAGACAGTTGTTAAGTGAGTTTTGCCCCATTTTATGACCTTTCCTGCCACAGTTGTTAAGTGAATCGCTGCAATTCAGTTGGTTACACAGTTGTTAAGTGAATCTGGCTTTCCTTGTCGGAAGGTTTCAAAAGGTGATCACAGGATCTCGGGACACTGCAAATGTCATAAACACATTCCTATTACCAAAGGTCTGAATTTTTATCATGTGACCATGGGGATGTTGCAAAGGTCGTAAGTGTGAAAAATGGTCAGTCGCTTTTTCCAGTGCCATTATAACTTTGAACGGTCACTAAACGAATGGTTGTAAGTTGAGGACTTCCTGTACTTCATGTTCCATCTGCTCTTTTTTTCCTGTATGAGCAGAGCATTGGCTACTGTTTTCTGTCACTTTTCTTTTTAAAGTAAAATTGCAGGGAGCAAGGAATCTCCAAGGAATAAATATTATGACATTTGTCAGATTGTTTTGTTCCCATTTAACAAAAAAAAAAATCTGAAAAATTAAAATCAGATCAGGCGTATTGGCATCTACAAGTGCCAAGTCAAGAACCCTGCCATTTATATGATCATTAGGAAACAGCAGAGTGAGATATTTGGCCTTTACAGCTAGGAGACATTTCAGACTTCTCCTGGAGCTGAGGAATTTCAGATCCAGGAAGGCTTCATCCACATGGACCTGTTTTCTTCCATCATTGCCATCTTTTGCAACATCTCGCTTCTATATGTATGCAGTGGCTTACAGGTGGTGCTTCTTCAATCCATTCTATCACATTTTGCTAGCTTTTTGAACAACTCCATTTTTATTACTGAACATAAAAGGTATAATGATGCCAAGCAAGACTAAGCCAAAGATAATGAGTAGCAGATAAGTTCCAGATTTCAGAATATACTTCATGTGCAAGACTAAGACTTAGGTTGCTGCACAAGAGAATGTAGCGTCATACCAGAATATTTAGCCTCTTCGCTGAAAATCATTCAGAAGACTAAACACATAATGAATACTATTATTTCTGGCTTTGAATATTTGGAGAAAATGTACAATTTGCAATAGTATGTTCATTGCTAAAGAGACAGAGATTCACATTCTGGACATCTTTATGTTTCTCTTCTATCAATCAAAGGAACAGTCTCTTCAATTCACACAGGGGCCACTTGTTAACTGGCTGAGAATCTCTCGCCTTATCAGATTGGGGAAATAAAATAGCTACCAAAACTGAAAACAATCCAATTGCTGTATCCTAACCACTTTTCCTTTTCAATAAATCTTATTTAAAAAGCCTCTGGGAAAAGCTTGATTTTGGATTGTGAAGATCTTGACAGAATAAAATATCTGAAAATACAGAAATAAGGCTTTCTCGAGGTCTTATTTTAATGCTTTCCCTTCAACCATTTGGAAAACAGAATCCAAAAAAAAAATCCAGTATTTCAGAGGCAATGCCTATGTGGATCACGTGTGACTGAGTGCATGGAGTATGTTTTTCTAAGTTGTACCTTTATTCTGATTTAAGATAACACTGCTCCAGCCATTAAAATCAAATCTTCCTGGTTATGGTGAAGAATTTTATCTAAGCTACTTTATAGCTGCCAGAAATCATAGCCTATGCTGTGACAAAATTTTGCTATTTAGATGTCATGAGAAGATCATCATTGTGAATAAAAGCGACAGACTGCAGCAATAGTCTTGTTTACATATGAAAATTCTGGAATGTTTTATTGTGTATTACGTTTTGTTTACTATATTGCAATAACGTTTTGATTTAGATACATAGGAAGAAAGTTCAGTAACGTTTAAATGCCTGCACATATGTAGTAATAATTACTGAACACAATAAAATTATGTTGCATCATATCAAAAGCTTCCGAAAGAAAAGGGGAATGACTGAAATGTAGTGTGGTAAATCAAAGCTAGATTAAGTGAACAAAAGGAGACCATAGGTGTGCCCATTTGTGTTTTTCAAAGAACAAGGGGGTCGGCAGGTATCCTTTCCTACCACCCAAAACCATATTTCAATTCAAGTTACCCTTGGAGGAAAACTCTACTGGTGGTCCTTGACTTGTGATCACAATCAGGACTGGAATGCCTGTCAATAAGCAAAGTCATGCCCAATTTTACAACTCTTTTGCTGTGGCTGTTAAATGAATCGTACAGTCATTAAGCAAATGAGGCTTCCCCATCAGCTTTGCTTGTGGGAAGCCCCCTGGAAGATGGCTCATGGCAATTATGTGACCCTGGGATGCTGCAGCTGCTGTAAATAGCATGCCGATTACCAAACAACCAAATTTTGATTACATGACTATAGGGCTGGGGTCTTTAAACTTGGCCCTTTTATGACTTGTGGACTTCAACTCCCAGAATTCCTCAGCCAGGCACGCTGGCTGAGCAATTCTGGGAATTGGAAGTCCACAAGTCATAAATGGGCCAAGTTTGAAGACCCCTGCTATAAGGGATACTGCAACAGTCATCAGAGCAAGAAGCAATTGTAAGTCACTTGAAAGCACCCTTGTAACTTGGAACGGTCATAAAACAAGTGGTCCTAAGTCAAAGGCTACCTCTATCATACTTGGTTTAAAAAGGTTTGCGAACAGCAGGAGTTCTCTCTTGATCAGGAAAAAAAGTGATTTTGAAAAATAAACCGTAGATGTTTACTCATGGTCAAAAGGGTAAAGCACATTGAATATAAAAGATCTGCAATCCAGTCTCTAATAACTTTTAGTAGATCTGAGAAAAGCTGCTGTCTGAAACTATGGAGAGAAAGCCAGTTTTTCCAAATTAGATGTCTCATAGATATGCTGGACTATAGCAGTGGTGGCGAACCTATGACACACGTGCCAGAGGGGGCACTCGGAACCCTCTCTACGGGCACATGTGCCATTGCCCCAGCCTCTCCTCGCCCCGCAGCCCTCTCCTCACCAGCAGCCCCCCCCCGAGGAGAGTCTCCCCCAGGCACGGCCCGTGCATAGCCAAGGACATGGCAGCCGGGCAGCAGAGACAAGACTCCACCCTTGCACCCCATTGCATGCAGATGATGCTGCGGGGTGCGGGCGGAGGGCATGGCTGCCATGGCACTGCAAGGCCGCCTGGGTAATCTGCTGCAGTGGGCCGTGGAGGCAGTGAATGGCCCTGCAGGTGGGCGGGGCGGGGGCAGAGAGCAGGCGGGCAGGGGGGTTTGGGGGGCACTTGGTCTCTAAAAGGTTCGCTATCACTGGACTATAGCATCCATAATGCCCAAGATAGTGTGAGAATTTTAGTCCAAGCACCTCTTGAACATATCAGATTTGGGAAGGCTGACAAAGATAATACTGAGTTAGATACAGTAATGAACTGGTTGATTCTAAGATACTGTCCTGTCTGACTAGCAAATCCTTCTTGGTTGTAAAAGCAACAGAATATAAACTCATGGTAATCTACGTGCCTGCTGTTCTTCATAACATCCTCCATAGAAACCATTGTTTTGTAAATGGAAAAAGTATATGAAGCTCAGCCACATATGTTTCCTCTTCCTGCATTTCTATTTGAAGGAATTGGTGGATAGCATATTATTTGTACACTCTTGTTCGAAAGAGGAAAAGCAGGATTTTATCTTTGTCACAAACATTAGCAATTATGCATATGAACGATAGAACTGATGTTAAAGCTATGTAGGTCCTCTTTGCTGAAAGCTTTTACCTTAGTCATAGTCTTCAAAACTAAACAGGAATGGACTTGGTAGATTTCCATGGGAGATCACCAGAGAATCAAATGACCTGTACCCTAGTCTGAAAGGTAGAAAAAAAAATATTGCAAAGACCAAGACAACCATTAACTTCTGCTAAGTCAACAGTGTTCTGAACTTTAGATCTTTGTAGTGAAACAAAAACTTAAGAATGATTTCTTCTATCTTACAAGTTGGCTTTGAAATTTGTTTTCGTTTTGTGTCCTAGTACTGCTTTTATATTCAGAATAAGATGTATAAAGTTATAACAACAACAACATCAACAACAAAAACGTTGGAAGGGACCTTGGAGGTCATCTAGTCCAACCCCCCCTGCTCAGGCAAGAAACTCTACACCATATCAGACAAATAGCTGTCCAGTTTCTTCTTAAAAACTTCCAGTGTTGGAGCATTCACTAGTTGCTTTGGCTCATATGGTGATCAGGAGCAGGAGCTTCTCAGTGGCAGCACACCAACTATAATCTTAAATCACGATTGTTTTCACACAATCAAGATGACTTAGTTTAAACAGTATTTTTGCTAAGGCCCAACCCCCCCCCCCAATCAAACTGATTGGTTTAGTGTGATGGAATAAACCAGATTGTTGTGTTAAATAGCCATTAATTCATCCATTTGTTTATTTTTAGATGCATTTAAAGTGTTGGCTTTCACATTTGATAATAATTCCAAATAAAAAAGCTTTCCAATCAACAAATATGTTCATATTAAAGGAAAAATAACTAGGCCAGATACATCCAGTAGAGGGAAGTGGTGTACAGCTATTAAATGGGATATTAGTAGGAGTCAGCTGCTTTTCTTCTGGATGTTATTTATTTTAATATATTTGTTTTGTCTAAAAGACTAAAAATAAATCCTGTCATGCCATCATTAAAACTGTGATATTTTTTATCACTCAGCTCAAAGCACAGATAACAGTATTATGATCAGGGAAATGAAAAATTAATATGATAATCGCAAATACAATCAGAGCTGATTTTAAAGTCCTAAACAAAAATATAAGAAAACACATTTGTAAATTAAAAATATCTAAATGAAATGCTTCACACATTTATTAATGGCAACAATGAATGTGCAGGAATAAAGAATAATTGAAAATAAGCACGTTACTGTCTCTCGACATTAACTATCTAAAAATATTATATATATTCATATACAGGTATTTTTCACTTAATTGCAAAACATTACAGCAGGAAATTATTAAGCAATCTAAAGGTATACCATGAGCAAAAGTCCATGATAGACAGCAGACCAACAAAATTCCTTTTGTTTTATTCTGTAGTACTTATAAAACTATTGCTATTTCAATTTTTATTTTTAAAAATGTTTTTCCCTTTATACACTACAAATTGTTTAATTTGAAATGAACTACAACAAAACTAAAAAGACTATCAATCATCAGTGGTTTTTATATGACTCACACTTACCCAGAAGTAAGGAAGAAAGTAAATATAGCAGGATGTCCTTTTATACGTAAGATTAAAATTTGCACTACAAAGTATGTTGTCAAAAGGTTTTGCGATTAGACTAAAAACCTATCTTTCAAGAATAAATAATAAGCTGATATTGGCTGGATCTTCATATCATACTAAGACAGAATATGATTTGTTCTCCTTAATGTGATGGTTGAACTCATTGTGATTAATGGCAGAGGGATTATTCAGAATTCTATTGCTTGTTTACTGAAAGCATAATATGATTTACAAACCTAGCATGGCCACTGATTTACTCAAGATGATGCAAAACCCATGGTTTTTGCATTGTGCAATAATACAAGCACATTTTATACTAATTCAGAGAAACAATTATTGCATTAAAATTTCTGAATGCTTCTTAAATATATCTGGATCCCCTGTCCATAAACTCTTGATAATGATTTAATAAGAAATACCCATTTTCTTTCTGTCTATTTTTAGCCTTATCTTTTGATGGGTAAATTTTTCCTCATGATTCAACACAAAGAAAAACTGATAATCCTGATTTAAAAGGAGCTCCTTTGTAAATGTTTTGGAAATTTATTTTAGTCAACAACTACTAAGGCTTAAACCCAACATTTATTTTGAATGTCAAGAAAGCATATATCTCTTGAACATATGCAGAAAAAAAATTGAATTATGCTTCTGAGATCTAAGGTCATGAATGGGGTTAAGCTTTATAACTTTCATTCTTTTCTTAGAAAACAAACATGACTTGTTTTCTTCTTTAAATAATTACAAAACTAGCAGATAATCTTACTGTGATAGCAGTGTGTGGTAACAGAAGAAAGGCAACAGAAGAAAGGCTATTTACTGTCTCATAATCTAATAAGATTATAGGAATATAAAATCAGTTTAGATCTCTGTTTTTTCCATTACTGGTATATGGGATTGTTGAAAGTAATGAACCAAGCAACTACTGTAACATGGTAAACATATATTAAAAGCTTTTAATGCATGAATTGCAAATTCATTTCCAAAAATACAAAGCTGTATTAAAAATATAGGCATCGGTCATGATCACTGCATTAAGTTGACAAAAGAGCAAAGAAAAAAAAAGCACAAACATGCTAAAGGAAGTAAGGATCTGGAGAGGGTTTTGAAATGATCTACATATGGTGACTCCTTTTCCTGATTAGTAATTGATGATGCTTTATGGTGTCACTTGGCTCTTGGTGTTGTGACAAAACGCCTGTTTTCATTGCTGTTTCATTGGGACACCAATAGTTCTGGTTGGATGCTGCTATACAACCCTGCTGAGAAAACTGCCTTAATCTGCCAGAGAGGCTGTTCCACTCAGTATGAGTTTTCTCACCAGTGGACCCACTCTAAAAGGCAGCGAATGGGAGTTCTCCACAAAGGTGGGCAAGAGTGCACTGCATAATAATGAAGATAGGCAGGAAAGCAGGTGAAGAGGGTGCCACCTGATCCTGCAAGCTCACTGTAGCCCCTCTAAGGATGCTGTAGACACTAGAGGGTAACCATGCTGGGAAGAAGAAGGGATGGTGAAGAGAACAGAGGATTCAAAAGTCTGCAACCTTGGCCTGCTGCTTCTCATAGGGCCACAGCCCAGATGACACAGCAAAGGCCTGGCAGTTTGATTCATAAATGTAGCCACTGTTTTCCCCTCGAGTGGGAGGCAAAATCAAAGACACCCCAGCTCCCTTCTGTCCCTTTCCTCCCATTCACCCTCTTTTATTGAAAACGGTCCCAGGAAATGCAGCAGGGCTTAAGCCTCTCCAAGCCAGGAGCGCTTTGCTCCCCCGTTCTTCCTGCCTGCGCTGCATCCTTTCTTGTTTACATTTCGGGCGGTGCAGCTTTTGCTGCCCTGAGAAAAGCTCTCCAGTCCGCCCGCCGTAAAAGACGCGGTCGTAAATGGAGCCGGCGGCGCGGTGTTTACCCCCAGCCACCTGCCTTTTGTGCTCTTCCCGGCTGCCCGAAAGGCCGCATTTCCTGCCGGCCTCGGAGCCCGGTGACCTGGGGGTGGGGAGCGTTTTGGGAAGAAGTGAAACCCCTTCCAGGAAGGAAAGGGACTTACCAGGGCGTGGTTTCGGCAACTGCCCTGCCATCGCAAAGGCCCGCATCCTGGATATGGGGGTTGGCATCCTTCCCTCCCCCGCTACTCATCCAAGAGCGAGCGGCTCGTTTTTCCTGTCGCCTGGTGGGGGAGCCAAATATCACTTTGTGACCCGGAGCTGCTGCTGCTGCTATTGCTTTTAAAATTTCCTCTCTTCCCGGCCCCCTTTCCCCTCTGGCTTTGATTCTTGGGCAACTCGAGAGGATCTTTGTGTGCCGGTTGCCAGAGCGCCTGGCCACCCATCTTCCCGAAAACCTCCCACAGATGCATTTCCACTGAGCCTGTTCGCCGCGGCGTTGCAGGCGGTGGGATTTTAGCACACCGGCAGCGTATAAGCAACAATGGTGAGCCATTTGTCCACAGATCCTTTTTAAAACGCGGGTAGCTACCAGTCAGTAGCGGTGGATGGGTAGTGTCCGCTCCAGGTTGATTTTCCTAGAGGGCGATCTAAACAGCGAAAATTGCTTGGTTCTGAGGGAAAATGTCTACCTCTGTTACAGTCGCCGCTATGCTTACTGTTCTCTTCCCTCCTGTATTTTTCTTTAGAGCTCGGGAAACGCTTCTTACCGATGCTCCATTTCCTCCTCTGCGGATTTTTCCGATGATGATGATTTCAGCCAAAAATCTGGCTCCCTCTCTCCGGCTCCGGGCGACACCCTACCGTGGAATCTACCTAAACACGAGCGATCCAAGAGGAAGATTCATGGAGGATCTATCCTAGACCCAGCTGAGAGAGCTGTACTCAGGATAGCCGGTAAGAGACAAATGGGGAGAGTAAGGTATGCTGAGAAAAGGACACTTCCATTGCACGGCGGGTTAGTGTATTGGCGTTCGTGTGTTACACAGAAGAGGTAGGGTCATAAAGTGATTATTGCTTGCTTGGTGTACTATGTATTATATGCCGACTCAGAATTAAGTTTCATTGAGTTCCGAGGGACTTAACATTGCAACATCGCTGTCCAGGAAGCTCGGCTTTTCGGGATCGGTGACTAAGCTATTTTAGCCTGCTCTTCTGTCTGGGCGGATAAACGTATTTGGGGTTGACGTGGAACGGCGGCAGCGTCTGCAAATGCAAGCCTTGACATTTTCGAGTAGTGCATTGGAAGTGAAGATCGTGAAAATCATCCGTCTGATGTAGCGAGCACAGATGGCTAACATTTTGGACGTGTGTGTACACAAAACTTAGTTGCAGCCTCCGACTCCCGCAGAAAACTCATGATTTTGGGTTGTGGGAATGCTTTCAGTTGTTAGATGGTTGTGGGTGCGTTTGAATGGAGCTCCTTCTTCGTCCAGCTGGCCTTGTGCTTGAAGAGACTTAGCATGGGTTCCCAGCGCCGCGTCGGACCATGGACTGCCCCCCACCAACGATAAAGGAAGGGAAGAGGATCTGTTTGGGCGCCCGCTATCAAGAGACTTGAGTTCGTTTTATTCTTCCTAAAGGCCAGAAGCTTGCTAGACTGGAACTCCAGAAAGCAAATTAAGCATTGAGAAAATACATAGCCTGCGGTCGTCAATAACGAGAGCCCGTAGTACTTCTCTCTCCTTGTCTTCCAGAAAGGCGAACCTGCTTCGCAGTGTTTGTAAAACATAGTGGGAAAAGCGTGGAGTCTTTCCACCCGCCTTTCTTTCCTTGCAAATAAGCACCCCGAAGCGGCGGTTTTCGAGTCTTCGTGGAGGCTTAGGAAAATGAAAGGCGCGAGACAGGGATTTTGCTCGTGGTCCCTGGCTCCACTGTCCCTCCGTCGGCTCCAGGATTGCAGTTTGCAAATCACTTCCGGAACTTGCCCTGGCGGAGATGAAACCGAGGAGGAGGAGAGGGAGGGAGGGGACAATCTCCCAGCCTGCTGTTCCGGTGACCGCCAGAACTGGCTTGCGATGGCCACAGCGGCGCAGGAAGCCCAAAGAAGCCTTCTCTGCTGTTGTTGATGTTTCGGGAAAGCCTGAGGCTCTGCAAAGTCACCCTGTTAGGCTCTTGGGAATAACGGGCTAGTAAATAAGAAAAGGCGGACCGGACCGGTGGAATAATAGGAGTTCTCGTGAGCTGGAGAAGAGCTCTGTTATAGGCGTGGTGAAACTGGGAACAGGGTCGAGTATGGCTGGGACGAAAGAGATTATCGGGGCAGGGAAAGGCGGCGGCGGCGGGAGATGCCCAGTCTAGCGGCATATGAGATCAGAAGGTGGGGGGGGAGGGTGCTGCAAATAAGCGCATGCGTGGTTCTTACTGAGCGAGGCACGTTGCTTTGAAAGGGTGACCGGCGGTGACACCTGCAGGACTTTGGCTCCGCCTTTTGGCCGGCCGCCACTCCCGGCTCTAGCGCGGTGCTTGTTATTGTTGTCATGGCCAGCCGAAGCAGTGTGGGGCGCGTGGGTCCGCAAAACCGATTCCAGACGGGTCAGAAGGGGGGAGGGGGCGCGCCGAGTTATTCCTGGCATTGCGACGACGTGTCGGGAGCGTCCGAGAAGGGGCCGGGTGGAGGGCAGGGGAGGAGGAGACGGCCAGCCGCCGCTCAGCCGAGACTGTGCCTGGGAAACGAAAACAACCGCTCGCAAAAGACAAGAGAAAAGAGAAAGAGCGGAGGCAGGGAGGGCTGATTAATAACGCCAGCTCGGCAGAAGAGGCCTCCCCCCACAAAAGGGAGAAAAGCATCGGTGGGGAAGTGCAATTTAAGTGCACTTAAAATACAAAACTCCGCTTGGCCATTCATAGGGAGGCAGGTTTCTCTTCCGAGAACGGTAGCTTTTGGAAACTGCGAGGTGGGGACGGGGAAGAGAGAGAGAGAGGGGGGGGGTTGGAAAGAAGGATCGCTTGGCCGAGGGTCTGGCATGTGAGTGACAGCTGTTTCAAAAGGCAGACAGCAAAAAAATAAAATAAATCGGGGATCTGATTGTGCTTTGAGCACAAAGTAGCTTAACTCAGATTGACTGTGCGCTCCATTCGTAATTGGTGTATTCCTAGGTTGCAGACGCTGAGTACATACATACCCTGGGCACAGATCCAGCTTTCTATAATGTGTATTGGCGAGGATAAATCTGAATGCATCCCCAGAGTTTCACAAGCACGCCTACCTCCCCCGCCAACCCCGTTATATTTTATCACATTCAAGCCCCGATTCCGGGAATCGGTTAAGAGGAGGCAAGGGCACTCCTTAACACGACAGCCCCGCAAAAGTCCCTTTCCTAGCGGGACGGCAGCCTCCGTGTTCCGCTTAACCCCGCCTTTTGCCTCGAATGGACCCTTCGAGCAGAAGCTACGCGGGTTGGCTTCGGCATAAAAGCGCGTTGCGATTTGCGCTATGCCGCCCGTGGCACGGCTTTGCTTAAAGCGAGAGCCGGGAGCGAACGAATGCGGCAGAGCCTCCGTACGGACTGCGGAAGACGTCGGGGCAAACCCAGAGCCGGAGGTCACCTCCAAAGCCGGCCGGTGGCATCCGTGAACGCCTCACCCTCCCCCCTTCCCCAGGACGACTGGGGGGCGCGCACTCCCAAAGCCCCGGAGCCGAAAGCTCGTGAAATCCGAGAGGGAGGAAGCCCGTTCCCGATTGGCGGCACACACGTGCTCCCACGCCGCTGGGGGAGGAGGCCTGGGCGTTTCCTCGGTCCACTTGCTCCGCGATAGCCTCCCCTCCCTCCCGCCTTCTTGGGCCGTTCTCCCCCCCCTCTCTCTCCAAGGCTTCCAGGCGGCCGGGAGCCTCGGCGCGACCTGATCGAGACAGGGTCAAAACTTCAACCATGGCTGGTTCTGTTTCTCCTGGTGGTCGTGCCTATACCGAGGAACAGGAGTACTTGCAGGCTTACGAAGATGTGCTGGAGAAATACAAAGGTAGAGTAAAGCGTTGTGTCCAAGCTCATCTTAAGGAGAAGGATTCCTGGGCTGCAGTGCTGGTGGTCTGCTGGGGGTTGCAGGGGAAGAGGAGGCGGAATCGGGTCCCTGGGACTTGCAGCCTGCTCTGCGGGGCTGCTAAGGGAAAGAGGGCAGAAAAGAGATAGAAGCATGCTGAGATCTCTTGTCTTAACACAAGTGGAGGGACCGTTAGGTGGTAGAAGGTGGCTCCTCTGCTTTCTTAAAGCGTTTAGAAGTTCCCATGTTTTTTATCCCTTTCTGGGATGGAAAAAACAACAAAAAAAAAAAAAAACCATTGCTGAGATGATTCTGTGCTGCATTATACCAAAGACCAGTTTTCATTTTTGCAACAGTGAGTTGCTGTCTGAATAACTAACAAATTCTGGCAAAGTAGGTCTCTCTCCCTCCCTCCCTCTCTCCCTCTCTCTCTCTTTCTTTCACACACACACACACACACACACACACAAACAAACACATTAAGCCCTTATTGTGGGTGTGATAAAGCCAATTTAAAAATAAAAATGCATGTTAATACTTTCCAATGCCATGCATATCTGTGCTTAAAACTCTATCCTGTTGAAGCTCATAGACAACAAATGTTACTAGAATGACTTAGCATCTTGCATTGGGCAAGGGCAACAGCAGAAGGCCTTAAAGAAAAACTCCCTGGAATTTTTAATCTCCATAGTGAAATTCATTTTCTATTTATCAAAAAAGCTGACTTTATTGTTCTCTTACTGTTATGAGATATGAATAAAATTATACATTATGCTAGATACTGATTTGAAGTCAGTAGATTTCTTTGTAGTAATATTTAAAGCAACATGACTGAGATAATGCAATAGCTATAACCAATATTTATTGCAAAACCCAAACATTTTGTTGGCGCTCTGTTCTTCTATAAATTGCACCTGTAGCACTTAACACCTCTTTGTGCCAGCAAGTAGTAAGAGAAAGTCTGGAAGATTGTATTCACATTAAGCAGGCTTTTAAATGATCTCTGTCAACAGCTTTTAATGACAGCTTTAGTTTTCATTATTGAAAGAGAAAAAAATCTTCATATTCAACCTTTAATTGACTTCACTAGTTATAGTAATCTATAGTGAGTTACCCTCATTTAGAACAGCATTAAAAGATATTTGATGATTCCTTTGTCTATAACCAATTGGGTCTGCACAATGATGGAGCATGTACTATATCTAACAGTAAAAAAGCATTAGGTTTCAGTTAGCCAAGTTTTTGCTGGACTGGTTATAAAGGAGGAATACTGTGGCTCTCTGCTTTAGTGATAAACATTGGGCAGTGTAACAGTTCTAAACCTGTATAATTATAATTAATTTTCTTTCCAATTTCTAAGTTATCAAATTACAACAGTATGATTCAGTGTATAATGAAAATATTTAAACTTTATAAATTAATTGCAAAAGATATGGAAATAAAAAACTGCAATCCTTTGTATGTTTACTTGGAATTAAAGTAATCTCTGTTTACTTACTTGTATTGTCTCATTTAATTTATCTTTTTATGACTATGTAGGAATTTGAACCTAGTTTTCTGCATTCCTAGTTAAAAATTCTGAAGCCCCTGATTTTTATGCATGTTGCATATATATTCTCATTGATCAGTTATTTTTCTTGATTTATGTTGAAACCTTAGGAAAACCTTACAGTTGTGAATCACATGGACACAATTATGAAGGCATTGCAGTGGGCCTTAGAACTGGGTACATATTCACTGTCCAGGTTTTACTTTCCCATTCGATGTGACTAAACATTGCTGGAATAGTTTTTGCTTCTAACCTAGTGATAGGTCAAAAAGAAAGTTGTACATCCAAATTCACCTTCTATTAATATTAAAAGTTGTAGCCCTGCCAGTTCAGTAGACTTGGAATAGATAGCACTGTGGTGTGGCTG